ATGTCCAACCACCGTGACCCATAAAAACATCTATAAGACATATGTGAGGACTAATGTTGATTGGTTCAGCTTTGAATTCAAAATCCAGCCACTAATAACCAACATTCTTTTGGAGTAGGATGAGGTATCCCAATTGAAGAGGTGAGCTGTATTTTGACTGCTCACTCCAAAGATACAACATCCCCTTGGATAAACCTGTACAGAGACATAGCATCAGATTGGAGGATATCTCGTCATCTACACCAGCAGAACATCACCGCTCTATTCTCAACTAAATGGTTGTAACATTATTTGTATCACATATCAATATCCCATTCAGGAGGATTCCTCCATGGTCTATCACCCCAGCAGCTTGGAATCTGACAGTGGTAAGGACTCCCATACCTCACTGGAAGAAAAAAATGAAGGGGAGAAAAATGCAGTGAGGAGTCCGGAGGAACATTAACACCAGAGACTGTGCAACAGGTGACCATGAAAACCTTATTTTGAAAAGCAGACCATACCTGATTTATTCAATTGAAGGCATGGCAGAGATGGGCAGCTATCTTCTGCTTTACCCATGAAGTCCATGGGTTAGTAAGGTCCAGAACAGGCATATTAATGAAGCAAATATAACCAATCTTGTAGAACACCTTATCTCAACAGTGAGCATTGGAAATTAGTGGCTATGGAAATTAGAAATATGCAGATTTGACTATTGGAAGCATACCTTGTCAGGCACCACTCGCTAAAGAGCGGGACCCAGACAACAATAAAAAAAAAGGGAAAAGCCCTGAAAAAGATATATATATGTGTATATATATATATATAAAATACACAACATACCTAGTCAGTCTCATTGAAGTCTGAAGAATGGCTACAGGTGGAAGACGATAACCTGAAGATGAAGACACAGCAATTCGATGCAGATAGTGAGATATAAACATATATGAAGAATTTCCTCCAGGGTACGGTGGAGATGAGATGGTAGGGAAAGGTGCCTGATCTGACGAGAAGACACCTAGAACAAATTCCGGGAAGAACAAGACAAGGAAGAAGCTAATCAAATTAAAAGTCGAACCCACCTGGTTAGGGTGGAAAGAGAAAGGTCACGACAGAGGATGTCTACCAAGGAATGAATAGGCAGGAACGGGCACCATGGGAGGAAGCCGTGCAGGCAACATAACAATGCAGAGCACAAACAGGACATAGTAGCCTCTCCAAATCTGACCAAGGATAAAGGTGGGAAATGGAAGGTAGTTCAATTGGCAAGGAGGAGGATTTATCCTCCTGAGCCACCAAAGTTTTGGGAAGTAAAGATCAATCCAGATAAAGAAGAATATGTGTGGAATGATATAGAGTACGTGAAATACCGACCAATGATAACCACAGGTTAATAGGAGAGGGAAATAAGTCTTAAGGGATAAATGAAAAATTGAGCATGAGGAGAGAGGTACAAACAGAGGCAAAGTGAGACATTGAAGAAACACATTAATATCCCAATCTTCACACCGAGGTGGACAACTAATCCAGAAGGAACACAACAATATGGAAAGGGTAAGAGAGGTAAAAACTTTATGCTACCTAGAAAAATAAAAAGTGTGTGAGAAAGCAGCTTGATAATCTGCAACTGAGGAAACAGAAGAGTCCTTATCAAACAGCCAAATGAAGAAATCCGTAATATGAGGAACATTGGTTCGATTGGGGGGAAAACCCCAAACCCAAAGACCAACATCGGAAAATGTTCCTCTTACACTGATAAAAATCTCTAGATGAATGGCAAATGGAACAAGCTAAAAAAAAAAAAGGGAACCCGTTGGGTCAAACCAGATTTCCTTACCAGGGACTGGATTAAAAACAGGCATGGAGACGGAGGATAAGAAAGACCGGATGAAACATTAGCAACTCGGGTTGACATAGAAGGAATGGAGTAAGAGGTAACAGAGGAGCAGATTGAGGCTGCAGCAGCTGCGGAAACCATGGTTGTGTTGGCCGCTAAGGAGCAATCAGAACGACTTTACACGGAGTAGCATGGATAATCGAAATCACTCTGTGAAGAAGATGGATGGGAGGATAAAAATACAGGTATTTGTTGGTTCAATCTTGACTGAATGCATCGACAGCCAGAGGAAGAGGAACCAGAGACCAAAACAACGGTAACTTGGAATTGAGTGATGTGGCAAACGAATCCAGGTGAGGAGTACCCCACTGAAGACATAGCCAATGGAAAACAAGAGGACTGAGAGACCACTCTGTCAGGTAAGTTTTGTTGGGAAGGGAAAGATTGAATTCACCCAGAACATGGCACACAAGGATATGAATACCAAGCATGTAGGCCCAAAAGAGGAAAGCCAAGGTTCAACCACAAAAGGTATGAGAAAAAGGGTACCACCTTGGTGATTGATATAAGCCACCACTGTAGAATTGTCAGAATGGATCAGGACCAGACAGTTCCTGACAAGATGAAGGAAATGGTCCAAAGCATACATACAGCCAGAAGCTCTAGGATGTTGATATGGTAAGATCTTTCTACCGAAGGCCATCGACCTGAAACTTCCAACCCCCAGCCCTGAAGGGAAGCATCTGTGAAGATATGCAAATCTGGACAAGGAACCAGAACACCCGCTGATGTGAGAGCCTTGTCCAATCACCAATGCAGATAGCCTACAATAGAAGGAGAAGGTAAATAGGAGCCCCTTATGAATCCCACACAAGAATCCATTGGTCATGCAGAGCCCACTGAAGAGACCTCATATGAGCTTAACCCAAGGGGATAAGGGCTTCCATGGAAGACCACATACCCAAAAGCGATAAAACCAAAAGCTCCATCGGACAAAGTCGAACAGGAGAAGGTTGGGCCAGACAAGATATTAGGTAGGTATAAGGAATGACTTCTCCAATTTGATTAACCAACTCACATGAGCTACCTCTAGCAGCAGTAGATGAGTGTGATGGGCACACTCCTGTTTGGAATGAGCTAACAAAAGCCAGTTGTCCACATAATGATGTAAATGCAACCCCTGAGCATGCAAAAATTGGGCAAAAGCCTTGACCACTCAACACAAGACATACAGGGCCAAAGCAAGACCAAAAGGAAGAGTAAAATTGATAAACTAACATGTGATGAACAAACTGATGATAACACCTCGACTGGTGAGATATCAGGACATGCAGGTAAGCATTTGTGACATCTACCCTGGTCGTCCCCAAACCCAGAGAAAAAGCCCGCCTGAGGGTGAGAAATACTCCACGGTAAATCGGGGAAGAACCAAAAATGGATTGAGGTGGAACAAATCGAACACCAGGTGCCAGTTCTTAGTTTTCTTGGGTACCACGAACAGCCTGGAGAAGTTCAATGGTCTGTTGGGAGAGAAGATCTTGTACCACCTCTGACAGACATTGACTGGTGGTAGGATCCCAGGCCAATAGAAAGGAAATGGGTACCTGATACAACAGAGGGGAAGGAAGTGGATGACAAGTCCCTCGAATAATACCTGAATAACCCAGATCTGTGGCAAAAATCAGTCAAGCAAGCCCCTACTGAAAAGGTACGTATCATGTAGTCACTGGTATTGTTGACGTCATGTTCAACTACGTCAAATAACATAATGAGATGAGGAACCCTTGGAGGTAGAAACAGGTAAGGGCTAGGCAGGAACTGGATGGGATACAGTAATAGGGGCATGTCTAGGCTTTCAATGAGACAAATAATCTACCAAAGAAGAAAGAGTACTTTGTTGGTGCACTGGCTCCACACAGGACACCAAAGTTTCAGCAATATTACTAAAAGCATACCGTCCCTACCAAGGAGAGGTCAACAACAGAGAAACCATGTAAGGATAAAGCTGAAGAAGAGAAACATGCAAACATGGAGATAATCAGGGAGAGGCTATCCCCCAAAAAATCCCTCAGGATCTCTGTGTATCACCTCTAAAAGGAGGTGGATGATAGTCAAGTACATTTGGAGAGTCAACAAATGTGGGAAAATTGGGGTGGGATAAAACAGGATGATAAAGGTCCACCCCTCACACAGGCAAAATTTATTCTAACTGTTGAGAATCAAGAAACAAACAATCAGCTTGAAGGTAGGCCAAGGCAAACTGATCCAAAGCCCATGGAGGGTAAAGCATACTGGTACCCTCAACCATCTAAGAAACAAAATGCTCAGTATGAACACTAATATCCAGGAAAGGGTATTATATGAAATTGGGGAAATGGATAAAACAGAACATACCTGAAAAATCATGTCTAAAAAAAAAGATGTACTAAGCCTAACTGATTCCACAGTAGGGGCAAAGGAAGACATGGCAAAAGCAGGTGGAGGAAAATGACTGTCAAAATCCACGTCGACTCAGGTTTCACTACTCACAAAAAAGCATATTTTCTTTTCACTGACATATATGAAGAACATTTATCAAAACACTTACCAGTGGATGAATAAGTCTAATTTGTGTATGTGTGTGTGTGAAAAAAAAAGAAAAAAAGAAAGAAAGAAAAGAGAGAGAGAGAGAGAGAGAAAAAGAGAGATGTACACTACTGCTGCTAGCACCCAAGAAGAAATTACCTTTTTGTGGTCAAATAGACTGTTCTTAAAATGGTACACAAAATTACAACTTATATCTAACATTTACTTTATGCATTTTTATGGACACTGGGAATGGTGGGCAAAAAACCAAAAACAGTATGTACATTCTGACCATTTTCCTGATTTGAAAGAAAATTTGCCATCCCCCCTCACAAAACAAAAATTAGCTGAAAACTTTGTGTCAGAAAATTTATTATGTCAATCCTAATTGTCACTTTTGAAGATTTCTACAAATACAGCTCATACTAGCATTTATCCATTTATTAAATGCCAATACAGTATCAAATCTCAAACCACTGATGTAATACACCTTTTAAAAACAGATCTGTAGTGTTTAAATAAATGTCCAGTATTAATGACACTAGGTGTGATTTTTTACTACTGTTATAACTGCTTAAAGAATACATAATATATTTAGTACTAACTGAAAACTTACCAGATATAAATATTTCATCTAATTTGTTGGAAACCCTTCATTCAGTCCATAATCTAGAAGTTTTTGATAGTCTTCTGTGTGTTCTCCTTTAAATTCGTATTCATTTTCATCAGTACCTTCCCCTGAATGTTCCATAGGTTCAACCTCTTCTTTTTTATCTTCTGTCATGTCTTGATCATTTGTTGTTGCTGTGTCTCCTTCTGCCATTCTACACACACAAAGAAAAAAAAGAATTAACTTACTCTGAAAGTGCATATAATAAAATAAAAAAGCAAAAGCTCAAGATTTAATTCTTATTTCAATAAGTAGTGCTTTCACAGCATTAAATGTGCTCTTCATCCAACTACCCTAATTTTGATTAATACAGCTTTCTATCAAACCTTTAATACTTAGTTTTTTTAGAACACAAAGTAAATAAAAACACAATATGTGACGAGTTTAAAATTCATCAAGCAGTATAGGCATTTTTAAACTTTTAATAACCTATAAAATTATAATAATTTTTTAAAACACCAGTTTTGATGAGAATAAAAGAATATAAAGAAGGAATAACAAATACAAATAGATTATGAAAAAGTTTGTTACACTGTGTTTAAGATTTACATACACAACCACCACAGAATTGAGGTACAATTACATTCACCTACAGATCATTTGTTAAATATTAAGACTTCTCTATTTCTATTAATTGTTAGCTATAAAAAAAGTTTAAATGGCTATATTTATGCCATTACTGTTAAACTTGCTGAATCATGTACCAAATACATACAAACACTTAAGGTCATTCAAGAAACAAATACTTTCTGTCAGTCATAATCAAATTTTCTTTGCCTGGAAAGGGCAGTTAATTTACACTGATTGACACATTTCTGTAACTTTTGATTACTCCAGTTTTTTCAGATACTAATCAAAAAAGAATTATTCCCAACTCATTTATTGTTTTTCTATTACAGTAAAAAAAAAACTTTTTGGACAGGCATACTTACCACCTAGGTACAAGTATTCAAATCAAAAAACAGAAAACTTTTCTGCTTTTATAGTTGTTTGTTCAAGTAAAAAAAGTGGAACAGTATTCTGTCTAATGTGCTTACAAAAATTAGTGTAACTGTAAAAAATAAAACTTTCAAACAATCATTTAAATTTTATATCATAAGGTTGTGTTCAAGAGCTTTTGCATTAAACACAAAGTATGCCTAGGTTGTTCTAACTGATTTAATTCAAAACACCATATACAAGATAGTGGTTAAACATTGGATATTTTCAGACACTGCATGCCTTATTTGCAATATGTTTTGCAAATGTACATTAACTCAAATTTCATCAGTCTCTCAATAGTTCTTTCTACACTGTCATTACCACCCATAAAAATCACACATGGAAAATTCCATTGTAAAGATACTAAGTATGTCACTATACAAGTGTAAGATCAATGGTTATATTAACCTTTAAAAATTCCTTTTAAACACATGCCTCCTAACTCTGCATTTCCAACCGTAACACAGTTTTTCTTATATAATGTACCAAAATAACTTTTCAGATTATAAATAAAATTGAACAACTTTTTTTGAAATTGTTGTTTAAGACTCATAATGTAGGTAAATTAGTAAGTAGAATTATACACAGACTTTTCTCCATGTTAAAATACTTTTATTTACAAGCTTTTGGCGCTATTACCAGAAAAAGCTCACAAATAAAAGTATCTGAACATAGAGAAAAGTCTGTGTTTAATTCTACATTTTTTTGTTATTTTACACAACAAAAATTTTTCATTTGAGACTGATCAACAGATTTCATAATATCTATGTTAACATGCCAAATGCAAACAGTAATGCATCCCTTACAGTGCTTAATGCCTAACACCTGAACACCACACACATATACAGTGGTATACTGGATATGAGATATATCTAAAGCTATACGTTAAGCTTGTGCAATATTAAACGTTTAGAAAAAATCTTAAGATTCATTCCTTTATCAGTTGGCTGTTGTAACAATACTGTGTACACTTTTCCAGAAAATCCAATATTGTTTTATATGTTCATAAGTATGTTTACATCAGTGATGGAATTTTAAGTGTTGTATCTATAACTACACAGATTTGTAACCAAACACAAGAAATGAATAATAATTCATTTTACTTACTAAGCAAACAAAAACTTAGCCTAAATTAAATTCAAACCACCATTTGAATAATGTCAATTAATTTTATAAAAGAAAACTTGATAACTAAAACTATCTTACAAATTTTGAAAACCATTACGGAATGAATAAATAAACTAGAAAGTTTGATGGTTTGTTTAGGACAAAACTGCTAAAGCTATCTATCACTGTCCCTAATTTTGAAATTCCAAACAAAGAGAAGACAACCAAATGTTATCATCTACAACTCTTGAACTACTCTTTACTAACAAACAGTGGGATTAATCTTCAATTATAATTTCCCCATGGCTAAAAGGGTAAGCAAGTTCTCTAACAGGTTTCAGTTCAGCAACTCACATACTGTGAAATGTATCATAATCACTAGACCACAACTAGAATGTCTATTCAGTTAATGGAGTATTATTATGTCAATTACACTGAAACTCCTCCGTTCTAATTGCTGTGATGTTTATTTTTTTACAGATGATTGTATGATAACCACTAACTTGTTCAAATTTAGTTATGTAACACTAACCAAAGTTTAAGTATATTTTAATAAAAAAGAAATACGTCTTAATTCTTTATTGACTGTTGTGCAACTGTGAATTTACTGCCTCAACCAGATAAATATATATTGGTCTGGAGATTGTGTTTATTAAAGAAAAAACTATAATATTTTTTGGAAATAATTTTGTCTGATTATGTAGGGAAGAGTTGAAGTCATTGAATAACATATGATGTGGCATTTATTGTTATTTAATTTATTAAAACATACATCTTTGTTGCCAATCTCCATTAACTTAAGCATCACTCTTTTTTTTCACTGTATGCTGCTGCAACTGTGGTACTTAGATGGAGGCTGTGGCAGTCCTAAATAGAGCTGGGTGATTTAACTGATTACCTATGAGTAGTGATTAGATCAACTAGTGTTCAATAAACTGGTTAATGTCACAAAAATAAACAAATAATCAAAATTATGGTTAAATAGATTATCCCCAAAATAATAAACTAATCAGAATTAGGGTTTTCAATTATTTACTGGTTTCTTCCTGTCTTTGTTCTTGCAAAACTATTAAGGTTATCTGCCACTGTCACTAACTTCAACTGCTGATTAGAGGGAAGACAAATGACTGATAATACCCACCATCCTTTGTCTCACTATTTAAGTATTAAGTAGTATAAATTTACTAATTTTTACGTTGTGCTTTACTTCTAATTTATAACTGGTAACCTTCTTATTTGATTACGTATGAGCAGCACAGATTTGATGAAGGGGCTATGGAGTCCAGGTCCCCCACTCATTATTGGTAGAAATTAATAACTGTATTCTTTAATGTTGTACATGTGGGCATGGATCCAGTGGAAGGATACATACATTTTTTCACAAATGAATAACTATGTTACTCAATGTTGTATAAGCAGGCACAGATTTAGAGTAGAAGTCCAAAAAGTCCAAACCTCCTCCCCATCCCTTCCATCTACTTTTTTTAAGAAATGAATAATAACTGATTATTTAATGTTGTATAATTAGGCATGGATTTACATTCCTTCCATTTTGCAATAATTAATAACTGTATTATTCAATGTTAAGAGGGGTCTAAACCTCTGTCAAAAAGAAATATAACATGTTATTGTTTTTATTTTATTGATCTATTAATTACCATAAAGCTTTTTTTTTTCAGTTTTTCTGAAGTTACACAACTGAGTCTACAGCAATATGATTATGGCCTCTGCCAGTAACTGATCATTACTAAACGAATACAATGTAAACGTCAATTACCTGTTGCCACAGTAAATTATTGTGCCATGGATTTTTTCAGACACTATCTGTATGTATGTATGCTTTAGACTTTAGAGATTTGTTTTTCAGAATTTGTAGTGCATATTGGCAGGATTTAAGACATTTTGGCAATAAAGTTAAAAAAAACAACAACCTTTACTCTCTAAATAATAATAATAAAAAAACATCCTTTTTTTTAAACTTTGGTGTAAAGCAGACTGGTCAATTGAAACCATGTTTACAAAAACAAAAAAAGCAGCAGCAACTAATAACACTTCAGAAAAAGTTAACACATGCACACTGAAAAGAATTACAATGACTATGCAACAGAAAATCACAAGCTACAAAACACACAAATAAAAATAATGATAACTAAGGCTAAGAATTATTTCTGTTTATTTTAGGTTTACAAGATTGAATCAGAAGACTTTGGACTTATGATCAAAGAAATTAAAGTGGAATTCTGTGGTATTGGTATATGTAATTTGTGATTTTTTTGTTTTTCAAAATGCATATATATAAAACTTTAAAAACATCATTTTGTTTTACATCCTCCACATGCAAAAGTTGAAAAGGCTTATCAAATCACGGTAAGTAGCAAACGAGTACAAAGTTCATAAGTAGAAGAGATTATTGTTTTCTGTACTTCTTTATTGACTGTTCTATGTTTTAAAGAAAAATAAGTTTAAGAACTTCTTTGTAAATAGTAATAATATATATATACATGCATATAATGTATTGTAAAAGCATGTTTTATAAAATTTGATACATGCATCAAGTCATTGCAACTTCTGTAATATTAGTCAGACACTGCTGAAAGGCAAATAAAATAAAAATGATATATATATATGTATAATGCTATGAGATTTCAGACATTTAGACCAGACATGTGGTTTCATGTTATAATTTGTGATCATTCAAGTACGAAAAAATTGTAATTTATATCTATTTCCAACTTTTTATGGTGGTTACAGGGTCAATCAAATCGACCAAACCCATACAGTGATACAATAGTGAATATAACACTAAAAAAACATTTCATAAATATCTGAAGGTTACAGAGATTTCGCATGTGACATTTGACAATTTTCTCATGCATAAAAGTATTTTTAATCTTAAAATCAAAATTACTTTGCATGTTCGATAGTCAACATTCAAAAAGAAAAAATGCACAAGCAAATCATTAATTTCAAAATCATAAAACTTAATTTCAAAATCTGATATTTTATGTAGGAAAGCCTTGTAATGTTTATTGATAATTTGCTAATTTTCATGAAGATACATGAACATTTTAAAAAGTTACAGTATAACTGCTTTATGGTTACTTTGGGGGATACAAACTGGGAAAAATCCACCCACTTGAAGTAAAAGAGTTAATGAGAATTGTTATTTTAGGCTGGCAATAAAATTCAGTGACTTACTATTTCAACCAACTGGTGACAGTCACTGCTACGGAAATGCTATTTGCACCAACATCAACAGTTTAATTTAGCTTGCCTGACTAACCCAAATATTTCACGTGATTTGTCACAAAATGACTGCATTAATTATCATGAGCCAACTGATACTAGTAGCAGTAGCAGAGAAGAATATCAACATATACACATTTGTGACAGTATTGATTTCTTTCCTGAAATTTAAAAATAGTCTAGATCAACTTAAAAAGAAAGTATCTCATGAGCAGAATTGTAAGAGCTTGCAAACTATGTGCAAATCAGCCTGCACTGTAATTTAATTTACTGTTATCTATTTCATTAGTGTTATTTTGGTTTAATGGCCACTTTCATATCAGTGTCAATAGCCACTTCGATTAACAAATATTTCACTACTAAACAGTTTATTTTGCTTTGTCATATATGGGAAGCATATTTATAGAATTAAAGAAAAAAGATTAAAACTGTTTTGAATCGTAAGATTTATACTCAAATTCAACTTAAAATTGTTTCAAGCCAGTATTTCATTTCAGTAATTGCTTTAAATTTCAAAAAAGTGTTCCTAAATCTCAGCACTCTTACATCATCTATAATTATAAATCTATGTCCAAGGTGTACTGTAATCATAACTATGTGAGCTCAACAATTCAATATTTGAGTTAAAACTTAATCGAAAGGATTAGAGCATGCACAAAATACATGTCATTGTCACAATGTCACTTATTCTTCAAACTCAAAGCGACATTTTACCATTACCAGCCTGGGGGTGTCTGAATTATTGCGAGTGTTTGAACTTTGAAGTGAAAAATATTACGAACAAAAGAAAACTTTTTGGAACCGACATATAATATTTTAGGACTGAAGTAAATCAAAACTTCCATTATCAATGATTATGTAACTTAAGTCAAGCTCAGCACTGTGACCAAAATTGATTGAAACTTAAAACAAAACATTAGTGTATAGAAACTTCAAAAAAACAGAACTTTGGTTTAGTAATTTTACAACTTATACTAATCGGTTTCATTACCTTTTACTATTATATCTGAAGTTTACATATCAAATTATTTTAGGTTTAGTATTATTACAAGTTACCTTGCTGGCGTTATTATCAGTGAAGTTAAGCCTAAATTATTTAATAAATGTAAAACCTCTATTAGGCCTACTGTATAATAAAATACAATACCCGCCAAAACTAGACTAGACATTGTTACATTATGTATAACACTTAAGACTGTTAGAGTATTTTAGTAAACTTTTGCTATTGAGCTTGTTAATTTCAACGCTTAAATTATCTAGTTAATATAATATGTAAATATTAGAAATTTAATATTATTTAATCTTCAAAATATAATACACAAATAATTTCCAGACCTGAACTGAATTTCCCAATCACAATTTTACACTTTCAAAGAAAGAACGCCGGTGTGGATCAACGTGAGAAATTCACGCTACGGGGCTTACAAAACTCGAAAGGAGGTCAATTTCTTTCACAGATAATACGAAAAATTAAGATACATTACCCAACATGTACAATAGATTTTAATTGTCAAAATAAACCAAAATATTATTTTTAATTTTATGTTTTTATTTTATAAAAATATCACGTTTTGTATCTTATCCCTACTTCTTAAATCGCATAAAAGAATTTCGTAAGTTGTGATTAAGCTCTTTTCTTGAGTGTATCAATGCACGACGCGTTTATCACACCTTCCTTCTTGTTGGGTAAGTTTTCCCGCCAACATACTAATTTAGTTGTTCAGTTAAATTGGAGAGTGAGTATGGTCACGATTGTAATAGTCGTTATACAAATAAATAAATAACTACAACCTTGGAAAGTGTACAATAACTAGAGCTTGAATTACATACTAAAAGCAACTCAATAACAATGTAATGATAAAATCAAGCTTAGCAATATTACAGAGATGTGAGGAATATTCTGTATTTTTTCAACAAATGCTTACGTGTAACGCATGAGAAACATTCATAAAAACTTATGAATAAATTGGATAGAAGCTTGGAACTCCCTCTATTACACATACATATACACACACATAAAAAGAAAGAGAGATAAATTAAAATAAATGTATGACGATAGAAAACTACAGAAATGCAGAATCTATAAATCGAAAAGTTAACTAAATCGTAAAATCAAATTGACGGGCCCCCAGTGGTTCAGAGGAGCGTTTCTGTGGACTTATCACGCTAAAAATCGGGTTTCGATACCTTTCGTGGTCACAGCACACTTTTTAGCTTTATGCTAGCAAACAAACAAAGCGGCGGCACGAGCACTAATTCCCCCACCCATTGCAAACGTTGGGGGAGGATGAGGCGAAAGTATGTTTACGCCGCCTCAATTATAATTCTCTTTTTTAAACAATTATAATAGTTACAGATAGACAAATTTTAAAAAACGGAGATGCTAATCACTCTTCTTTCCAGTCTGCATTTCGTTTTGCTACAATTAAAGTATGGAAATTTGTGAATATGAACTAATACTAAACCAGCGTTGGCTAATTATTGGTTTGTTGGGACATTGTTGGCATTCATTAAACAACTTTGTCCAAACGTCGACTTATCATCGTGCAAATGACTATTGTATAACTGACAGTGACAACACACAGAGCACACCGATGTTGTCCAAGCAATTTCTTCATCGGCCCTTAATTTAGTTGGGTCAGTGTGTTGATTGATCGTTGGCTAAACGTAAGCATCCACTTTTTTAACTGTTAGCTAAATGATCTAAAACCTTTGGTTCAAGAAATTAAAGAATGCATGGTTAAAAAAGCAGATTACTAATTAATATTAGATAAGCAATTACATTAAAGAGGTGTAGATTTTTGAATATAAAGCGTTTCATGAAAACCTCTCTCTTTCCTCTTTCTTATTATTGAAGCTTGAAACGTGCGAAATAATAAAGTCTTTAATCTTAATCTCCTATCTCTTCTAGAATATTATCTAAAATGCAATTAATCAACACCTCTGATTTACAGTTTATTGTAGGAATCGCTGTTTCGCGCGATTGCAACGCCTTTGTCATCGGGCATACATATACCAGTTTTGAAATTAATGAATTTATACTGCTACAGGCTGATAATGAATGAATGTGTAAGTTTTGTTATGCTAAATTAACTGGTGGTCATAGGTCATCTATAGTGAAAAATAATATACGAGTTTAAGATCATAATGATTTGATATCTATAGCAGGAGCAAGTTGATTTCGTAGAAGAGTTCTGTATTTTGAAGCTGACGAGCCATGTTCGAATTCATACAGTACCAAAAATATTCCCCGCACGCTGAGGCTGTGTGTGCGTTATAAGAGGGAGAGTCAAATTCATTTATTCTGTCTGAAAAGAGTAACACTCGAATATTTTTGTGTGAAATTTAATACACACGCACAAAATACTGGGTTATATTTTATTTCAGTTTATCAAATGAATCCATTCCATAAGTGCTTAAAACACCATACAATACCCAACCAAAAGGGTCATGTTAGGTAAAGGGTGGCCAACCCGCGGCGCTTCAAAAGCTGATATGCAGCTCCTTAAAAAAGCATATTTCACTCTGTCTGTAATTTAAAGTAAAACGTTTTGAATTAAGGAGTATAAGAAAATGTATGAAAACATGTAGTTAAAGGTTTAATTGATGTTCCATTAGATATAAAATAAGAGCATTTTGGTAAAAGCAACAATGTTATATTATTTTATAAAATAAAAGCATTTGTATTGTCCTGATGCACTGAGGTGACGCTACTGGGAACTTCAGTTTCGTTTTGGACTTTGTCAAACTTACTTTTTTTTTCTGTGAAAAAAGTTTGTTTGTTTGTAATTAAGCACAAAGCTACACAATGGGCTATCTGTGCTCTGCCCACCACGGGTATCGAAACCCGATTTCTAGCATTGTAAGTCCGCAGACATACCGCTGTGCCACTGGGGGGCGTGTGACAAAAGAGATGTTAGACATGTGTGGCTCTTCAGTTTGTTTGTTTTTTGAATTTCGCGCAAAGCTACACGAGG